GCAGCACCATCAAATTGGGTTAACACTGATGTAGACCAACCTCCTTACCAGAGATGGACCTTACTCAAGGTCATTCCATTGGTTAGTGGCAAATCAAACAACAAAACCCAGCCCTGATTCTTCTGATAGTCCTTCCTCTGAGACTCCTATCTAGATAGTAGTGGCAGGGACAAAAAGGCTTTATCAGAAACTGTTGAATCCCATGGCAGATAGCTTATGAATGCAGTGTTCCTTTTGTTGCGTTCCTACCCAGCAACAGTGACATGCTGGGCCTTGTGGGCAAAGCTCTGAATTAGAAAGCAATATACACACAGCAGAAATAGTCTCTACTCTCAGTTTATAGTTTATGAAGGAGACAGACAAGTAAACCATTAAAAATTAGACTTGCTATATAATCAGGATCCAAATAACCTACAAACAAGCCCCAAAGCACTGACAAGTAGCAGAAGAAAGGGGGACGAGCTCTTAGTTGATGGGCAGCTCTATCAGCGGGCAGATGAATATCATAGATTGTGAGGATGGGTCTCATTATTCCAGGATATGAAGGGGGTGGGGACTTCCTTCCTTTTATGTCTGGGGTCCCCTAAGACTTTCTTTTGCTGGCTTCTCCTGAATCCTGTGTGTCCTGTCTCCTAATGTTTTTAGGTGACCTAGGATGGGGCTTCAGAGAGTTCATGGAAAATGTAAATAAAAGATCATGGAATTTGTCCACAAAACTTTTGAGGCCTTCTTTGTATATTCTGATAACCCCATTTTTATGCTCTCCAACAATGACTTGAACACTGCTTTTCACGTCCAATTTCTTGACATCTTCAGTTGGTGGCTAATCAACTTCTCGAGCTTATTCTGTTCAAAGGGAATTGGTATTTCTTTCCCGATTCCTCTCTGGTCTTGTCCATTTAGAGCCATCTTTCTTTCGTCTGGCACTCGTCACAACACCATACATCCAAATGAGCACCAAGTCTTCCAAGTTCTACTTTCAAAATATAGTCTGAATCTAATGTTTGTTCTCCAATTCCACTGTGACCACACGAGTCAAAAGCAATACCACCTCTCCCTTGGTCTAATTCTAGTTTCCCAGCAGGTCTGACAGCTCTATTTAGCTGGTAGACAGAGTGATTTAAAAAGAAAAAAAAAGCCAGGCCACGTCCCTTCTAAAAATATTAAAATGGGGTTTTCCCATTACCTTTAATCCAAACTCTAAAAGGTCCTGCTTCACGAGGGCCCTGCCGCTGCTCCAATACTTGCTTTCTAAAGCTCCAGCCACAGGGTCT